GAGAGGAGAGAGAGAGAGAGAGAGAGAGAGGGAGGAGAAAAGGGGAGGAGGGGAGGGGGAGGGCGGGTGGGGGGGGAAGGAAAAGGGGTTTGAGGGGGCACTTCACAGGAAGGGGGGGGTGAAATCCTGTTTATGGGGGTTGTGTGTGTCTGTATGTGTGTGTGTGTGTTGTGTGTGTGTGTGTGTGTGTGGGGTGTGGGGGTTTATGGTTTTGTTTTGGTGTGTGTGGTGGGGTGGTTGTTGTGTGTGTGTGTGTTTTGTTTTGTGTGTGTGTGTTTTGGGGGTGTATTGTGCCCCCCTTTTAATTTTTTTTCATACGCAAAAAAATCATTTTGTAAACCCCCTATTTCTAAAACTACCAACAGTGATTTTTTGCACTTACACTTTTCTTATAAAACACAGAAAGTAAATTTGGGGTTTAAAATTTAGCTTGTCCCCGCCCTTTTAGGAAATGTCTGCTCACCCTCGCCCGGCTTTCCCCCCGCTAGGGGTGCCCTCGCTAGGCTGCTCCTCGCTACAAAAACTAAAACTTCACCTTTCTATGCTATTTCTGCTCTTTAAATTTTGGGAATGCTTTCAGGGGTGAGTGACCAGTTTTCTAAAAAGTGACTAAGGCCCGGATTCGAACCCCCAAAACCAACCCCAACAGGGTGAGGGGATACTTAAGCTGGCAGTGATGCGGGTGACAATTGCCAAAATTTCCCGATGAGTAGTGTCGGGACACACGCCCTTTTATCCCCTATTTTGAAAATTTTTTCACCTGGATCTTTTAACCGGGATATGTTAAGCATCCCGCGTCCCCCCAATTTTCACTTATGATAGAATACACCATTTTATTGGAATACACTTCACATTCGGGGGGGTTACCTTTATATGTATAATGAAAACAAACTGTTGTGAGTCACTGTTTTCCCGCGGGGCCAAATGCCAACCTTCCCTTGTTATATATTTATTTTTTCCTTTCTAACTTTTTGGGTTATTAACTTTTTTAAATCTCAAAAGCATGGTGCCCCACATTTCACTTGTTATCCAATCTCGAATTGTGAACACCGACTTCCACACTCACTTGAATCTTTGTATATTGAATCTGTGTAGCAACAGAAGCCTATGCCACTACGGTTTTGCACTTGTGAATATTAAGATTTCAGGCTTCCTCTCGACTTTTTTTAACTAATAATCTCTGGTTATGCACTCGTGGATTGTTCCGTGACGTTTGTCACTACCCTTATTACTGGCTAGCAGTTACTGCACGACTTAAAAACCACTAAGTTTCGGAGCCTTGTGACCACGGTTTTTGCTTGTTTGACTGGTGTGTTGTGTGTGTTGTGTGTGTGTACTCACTAGTTGTACTCACCTAGTTGAGGTTGCGGGGGTCGAGTCCAGCTCCTGGCCCCGCCTCTTCACTGATCGCTACTAGGTCACTCTCCCTGAGCCGTGAGCTTTATCGTACCTCTGCTTAAAGCTATGTATGGATCCTGCCTCCATTTACATCGCTTCCCAAACTATTCCACTTACTGACTACTCTGTGGCTGAAGAAATACTTCCTAACACCCCTGTGATTCATCTGTGTCTTTAGCTTCCAACTGTGTCCCCTTGTTACTGTGTCCAATCTCTGGAAATCCTGTTTTTGTCCACCTTGTAAATTTCCCTCTCAGTATTTTGTATGTCGTTATCATGTCCCCCCTATCTCTCCTGTCCTCCAGTGTCGTCAGGTTGATTTCCCTTAACCTCTCCTCGTAGGACATACCTCTTAGCTCTGGGACTAGTCTTGTTGCAAACCTTTGCACTTTCTCTAGTTTCTTTACGTGCTTGGCTAGGTGTGGGTTCCAAACTGGTGCCGCATACTCCAATATGGGCCTAACGTATACGGTGTACAGGGTCCTGAACGATTCCTTATTAAGATGTCGGAATGCTGTTCTGAGGTTTGCTAGGCGCCCATACTGCAGCAGTTATTTGGTTGATGTGCGCTTCAGGAGATGTGCCTGGTGTTATAACTCACCCAAGATCTTTTTCCTTGAGTGAGGTTTGTAGTCTCTGACCCCCCAGACTGTACTCCGTCTGCGGCCTTCTTTGCCCTTCCCAATCTTCATGACTTTGCACTTGTGTGGGATTGAACTCCAGGAGCCAATTGCTGGACCAGTTCTGCAGCCTGTCCAGATCGTGTGTGTGTGTGTTGTGTGTGTTGTGTTGAGTGCGTGTGTATGTGTGTGTTTTGTGTGTGTGTGTGTTGTGTGTGTGTTGTGTGTGTGAGTGCGTGTGTGTGTATGTTTGTGTGTGTGTGTGTGTGTGTGTGTGTGTGTGTGTGAGTGCGTGTGTATGTGTGTGTGTGTGTGTGTATGTGTGTGTGTGTGTGTGGTGTGTGTGTGTGTGAGTGCGTGTGTATGTTGTGTGTGTGTTGTGTGTGTGTGTGCGTGTGTGTGTGGTGTGTGTGTGTGTGTGTGTGTGTGTGTACTCACCTAGTTGAGGTTGCAGGGTCGAGTCTAAGCTCCTGGCCCCCCTCTTCCTGGGCGCTACTGGGCACTCTCCCTAAACCCTGAGCTTTATCGACCCCTGCTTAAAGATGTATGGATTGCCTCCACTACACCTTTCCCCCAAACTATTCCACTTACGACTACTCTTGGCGAAAAAATCTTCCTAAAATCCCCGTGATTCAAAACGTGTCTTCAACTTCCCAAATGTGTCCCCCTGTTGCTGTTCCACTCTGAACATCCGCTTTTTCCACTTGTCAATTCTTCTAGTATTTTGTAAGTCGTTATCATTCCCCCCCCATCCTTTCCGTCCTCCATGTCGTCAGTTATTTCCCTTAACCCTCCTCGTAGGACATACCTCTTAGCTCTGGGAACTCTTTTTGCAAACCTTTGCACTTTCTTAGTTTTTTACTGCTTGGCATGTGGGTTCCAAAATGGTGCCGCTACCCAATATGGGGGCCCAAAAGTACACGGGTACAGGGGCCTGAAAGATTTCCCTTTTTAAAAATGTCGGGAAAGCGTTTTGAGGTTTTCCAGGCCCCATACGCGCAGCAGTTATTTGGGTTTATTGCGCTTCAGGGAAAGTGCCTTTTTTTATACTCACCCCAAATCTTTTTCCTTGAGTGAGGTTTTTTCTCTGGCCCCCTAGACTGACTCCGCCCGCGGCTTTTTTGCCCTTCCCCCAAACTTCATGATTTGCACTTGGGGGGATTGAACTCCGGGCCCAAATTTCGGGGGGAACCCCGGCTGCGCCTGTCCAATCCCTTTGTAGTTCTGCCTGGGCTTCGATCGAATGAATTTTTCCATCAACTTTACGTCATCTGCAAACGGGAACCTCGGATTTGTTCCTTTCCCCATGTGTGTGTGCGTGGTATGTGTGTGTGTGGTGTGTGTGTGGTGTGTGTGTGTGTGTGTGTGTGTTGTGTGTGTGGGGTTGGGGGGTGTGGTATGTCGTGTGGTGATGTGTGTGTGTGCGTGCGCGCGCGGTGTGTTTTTTAATTCCCCAGACTCAACCAATTGGGGGAGGGGTCAAATTCAGCTCCTGGTCCCGCTTCTCAACTTGCTTCTTGCCATATTCTCTCCCACCTTGCACTGTGGGCCCTATCGTACCTGCTTTTAAAACTATGTATGGACAAGGATGGGCGGGTTAGTGGGCATGGACGGGGCACGAGTGGGCAGGGGAAGAGCTGGAACTTGTCAACACCTCTCCTGCAGGAACTTAGGCAATTGGTCACCTGAGAGAGAGAGAGAGAGAGAGAGAGAGAGAGAGAGAGAGAGAGAGAGAGGAAAAGCGAGACCTATTTCTAAGCATCTGTTGCTTCCTTCCCTCTCTTCTTGCCTTCTCTCTTATTCCCCCATCTCAAAGACCCTTTCAGCTTCCTTCTCGAAGATCTAATATATTCGCACATCGTGGGAAAGGAGCAACCAATCGGGACATATTTTTACGCCACACCATTTGTAACGCACCGTAGCAGGGGACGGCGTAGCCCACAGGAACACTCTCTGGGGAAATCAGATCCTCAGGGCAGTAAGGAAAATATCTGGGAGGAACCGAGTATGTTCTTCGTGAAGGATAGGAGACGTCAGGCTGTTGGTGCTCTCATTATGTTAGGTGACAATGTGCGTCCTGTGAAGGATTGTTGTGTTATGTCTATGTATGAGTGTGTGTGTGTGCGTGTGTGTGTGTGTGTGTGTGTGTGTGTGTGTGTGTGTGTGTGTGTGTGTGTGTGTGTGTGTGTTTATGTCGTTTGGGTGTGTATTTGTTGTGTGTATGGGTGCATGTGTATATGCAAATGGGTGATAAGAGATAAGATTTTATTTGGATTTTTAACCCAGGAGGGTCAGCCACCCAGGATAACCCAAGAAAGTCAGTGCGTCAAAGAGGACACTCTTACTGTCTCTGTCTCTGTCTCTGTCTCTGTCTCTGTCTCTGTCTCTGTCGCTGTCTCTGCCTCTGTCTGTCTGTCTGTCTGTCTGCTCTCTCTCTCTCTCTGTCTCTCTCTCTCTGCCTGTCTGTCTGTCTGTCTGTCTGTCTGTCTGTCTGTCTGTCTGTCTGTCTGTCTGTCTCTCTCTCTCTCTCTCTCTCTCTCTCTCTCTCTCTCTCTCTCTTCTCTCATTTCCATTATGGTCCCTCAATCTAGTTCCCCAGGATGTGACCCACACCAGTCGACTAACACCCAGGTACCTACTTACTTGCTAGGTGAACGGGGACAGCAGGTTTAAAGAAACACGCCCAATGTTTCCACCTGACAGGGAATCGAACCACGGACACTGTGTGAGGCGAGAGCGTTACCTACCGAACCAAGGTAGGGATTACTTGTGTGTGTGTACATGTGTTTGTGTGTACGCATGACCGTAGCTCAGTACCCTCAAGAGGCACAATTGCAATATATCAACAATAATAGATGAACAAACGAGAAAAATATTCCTACCTAGGTGGCATAATACAGCAAGTGTGAACATAAATACAACAGTCGTGTGGGTGAATACAACAGGTGTGGTGAGTAACAAGGGGGACTAATGTATACTCACACTCATAGCGTCGATGAGTAAACTCAAGTTTACAGTCCTGCCCTCACTCTCTCACTCCTCTGCACGCACCTGCAACAATTACGATGAATAAACAATGTGCACATTGATATAAACATTGCCATATAAATTTATAAACACTCAAGCATGTGAATACAGTTGTACAATCACAGATCCTGTTTCAATTTAAACATCTACTGCACCTCCTTCATTAAGGCTTTGCTACGAAATTAAACATCAACAAAATTTAAAGCCCTAACACAGTGTGTATATACATGAAACAATCCTAGTGATATACACTGAAAGACATTCATCTCTCAGTGTATATACACTGAAAGACAATCACCTCTCAGTGTATATATACACTGAAAGACATTCACCTCTCAGTGTATATATACACTGAAAGACATCACCTCTCAGTGTATATACATGAAAGACATTCACCTCTCAGTGTATATATACACTGAAAGACATTCACCTCTCAGTGTATATACACTGAAAGACATCACTCTCATGTAATACACTAAGACAATACCTCTCAGTGTATATACACTGATAGACATTCACGTCAGTGTAGTTACACTGAAAGACATCATCTTCAGTGTATATACGTTGATTCACGTAGAGATGTAGTAAGTAGATGTAGGTAGAGGGTAGATGAAAAGGAATTAACGAGAGAGTATGAAATATTTCTACAGACTCAGGATAGAAACAGAAATTGGTAGACTAATGTTAGTAAATAATATTTCTTCTGCCCCCTTCAAAGAGAGTGAAGGGCTCTTGATCCCAGGAATAGAATTTCTCTTAACCAATGAATTCCACTAAGTATATAAAAAAAGACAAATTCGTTCCACGTGGAGTATTGATCCAATGACTCGTTTACAGAGCCAGACTTTACAAGGGCAACGTTTCGCTCTTACTGAGCGAAACGGTGTGTCTAAAATTAAGAGGTACAAATATTTTCGAGATTCAGGTCAGTGAACTATTCTGCAGTGCATTCTGTACTTACAACAATTTAATGAGGAAAATATCATTTTTTTACCTCGTGTATTGTAGGAGTGAACCAGATGTCAGGACTTAAACGTTCCGTGTTAAGATGTCCCAAGTATTTGGGTGTGGGTCTTTATTCCCATATTGTGAGAATTATAACTCTATTTCTCAACTTTGAAGTCTTTCATGTATTATGTGTGGAGTTACACATGTGACTTCACGCATATGTGGTTTTACAAGCTATCTTACGACATGGCTTACACATATATGGTCTTGCAGCCTATCGGGGTGACCCATGAAAGTCAATTTTCTCTCCTTAAAAACTACTTGCATGGTAAGTCTCGTATTGCCACTAGACGTGGGAGTTATAAGCACATGCTAAGGGTCCTTATCGCCTGGCACCTGCAGTGCTTTCCAGAGGTCAGTGTGGGATGAGCCTCGGTTTAATTTGTTGTTCATACTGTCCTACTTTCCTTTCATTCTCGTCAGAAACTTGTTTGAGAATAGTGGCTATTGCACTGTGTATCTGTGTATCTGTGTAAAGTAGTTTGTGTTGTATCGTTTATAATGTTTTAGCTAGGAAAGGTGATTCAAAAAGCCCACTCAGTGTGGTTTATGTACATTGTGTGGCTTGCCTCTATTCCAGTCCTCTAATTCTCTGTCCTCAGGATGCTACCCACGGTAGTCGGTTTATATGCAGGTACCCACTTATTACTAGGTGAACAGGGACAGCAGGTATTAGAAAACAAGCTGAACCTCCACCTATCTCAAGATCAAACGTAGATCCTACGATTTTGAGTCGAGGATGTCCTGTCTTGATAAAGTGGTATTTCTCATTTGGCGATCACCAACAGCCTGGATGATCGGAGACCGGGCCGCCTCCCATATATGTTAAGTTCTTCCTGAAATACAGTATTTCTGAGGGGCTAGGTGGCTCCTAGTCTGTTAGTGTGGAAGCCTAGTTGAACTACTAGCCTCTCATTATACCGTCCGCCAGAGGCAGCGTTCGGTGCTATGGTGTTCTTTGACAGAGGGAGAGTCGAAGTCGCTGTGAATGGCTCTTAGGCTAAGTCACCTCTCACATTTTCCTCTAAGACGGACCTCGAGGTAGCGTGGATGGTCTTGCTTGTTTGTGTGGGAATCAGATAAAGCCTGGTCCTTGTGAGAACCTGGGACAAATGGAGCCTGGTCCTTGTGAGAACCTGGGACAGATGGAGCCTGGCCCTTGTGAGAACCTGGGAAATCAACCAGACCGAAAAGAAAACAGAAGTGGCTAAGGTAGCTAGACTCGGTATTTAATTCAGGTTACAAACCACACATTTCAAGCCACAGCTCAGTCAAGAAATCAAGTGCTAACTCTCTAAAGAAATAACATAGACGACAGTGTACACAAGGTGGCCAGCATACATTACTAATGCGAAAAGACTCTTCTGGCGACGCTACAGCTTGTTATATTAAAGAGGAAAAAAGGCACAATACCGCGACTGGAACAATACACAAATAACCCTCACGTAGGAGAGAGAAGCTTATGACGACGTTTCGGTCGGACTTGGACCCTTTACAAGAGTGATTTTGTAAATGGTCATAGTCAAAAGCTTCTCTCTCCTATGTGCGAGTTATATGTGTAATATTCAAGTATTGGTTAATAGCACAAGCGTCGCTTGTGCTATTAACCAATGTTTATTGTTCATTTTATTTGGGTTATAAATATACTTTTAATAAAAAAGGTTAACCATCCTTTTAAAAAAAGTACTTTAACTTGGCTCTGATCACCCGTATGGGAGTCCCTACGAAATATTGACTCGCTTTTGATTCCCCTCAACTCGTGAATATGGGAAACGCATTTGCCCCTCTCTTAATTGTTGTTGCTGCTGCCCTGTGCCTCTGCACAGTCATTATTGGTGTAGATCACAGGAGAACTACTGGAGTTATTAGCTCCCTCTAACTGCCCTGCCGATTTCGAATTATAGCCAGCCTCAGCAATATTTGATAATATACTACTCTGACTTTTATCTCGAGTTCAATTTCCATATTCTATACTTGCACAACTTTCTCTAAAACACAACTCCGGCGGTGAAGACAATTCAGGTTACATAGCCAAAACAAACGAGCGTAATATTTGGTAAAGTCGTGGCCTTGATAGATAACGCTCTACACAGGGCGAAACGTAATCTCAGTAAATGCTTGTTCTTCAGCGTGTGTGTGTCTGTTTATCATTGTCTTCAGTACGCCATTTGCATTCAGCTCCGTCGGTGCCGAGAATTAAAATGCCTAGAATTCGCTATGCAGGACCAGGTATTGCTGGGAGAGCAATGTCGTCTCAGAGATACTGGCCCTTTTGTTTACTCCTGAAATAGAGTTCCTCGCTCTCTCATTTTCCCATCCCATTACCTGGAGCAAATTACCTCCAGCTGCCTTTCATGAAGTCCATTTAGAAATATATTGCAGATAATAGCCATGTTTTATATCTTTTTTTCCCTCTCTCATCTTCCATTCTATTTCCTCCCTCCCTCCCTCCGTCCCCCATGTCTCTCTCTCTTTCTTTCTCTCTCTCTCTCCCGCTTTCTGTTTCCGTCTTCCATTCTATACTTTTTTCCTCCGTCGGCCCTATTGTTCTGTGCTCATTAGAGGAAAAACAAATTCTCGTTTAATCCTCAACCTTTGCTCTCTCCATCATACGTTTACTTGTCATGTTCTTGTTTTTTGTTTGGTAATTCTCGCCTGTGTAGCTGTAGACAGCGAGAAGGATAAACATGTGGAAAAACTGTAAGTTTAGTTCCTGGTTTAAAGAGCTCCTTTCTTAATTACTGTTTGTAGCTGTCGACAGCATGATTAAAACCTGGTAAAACTGCAAGCTTAGTTCCTGGTTTAAAGAGCGCCTTTCTTAACTACCGGTGGCCTGGTGGCTAAAGCTCCCGCTTCACACACGGAGGGCCCGGGTTCGATTCCCGGCGGGTGGAAACATTTCGACACGTTTCCTTACACCTGTTGTCCTGTTCACCTAGCAGCAAATAGGTACCTGGGTGTTAGTCGACTGGTGTGGGTCGCATCCTGGGGGACAAGATTAAGGACCCCAATGGAAATAAGTTAGACAGTCCTCGATGACGCACTGACTTTCTTGGGTTATCCTGGGTGGCTAACCCTCCGGGGTTAAAAATCCGAACGAAATCTTATCTTATCTTATTTATAAGGGCCCTACTGAGGGAGCTTCTAAGAGACAGGTGCACAGCATGATCCTTGACTTGATAAAGCTCTGTACAGAGCGCAACATTGCCACAAGCTCTACACAGAGCGCAACATTGCCTCAAGAAAGCTCTACACAGAGCAAAACATTGCCTCAAGAAAGCTCTACACAGAGCGCAACAGCTTCAAGAAGGCTCTACACAGAGTAAAACATTGCCTCAAGAAAGCTCTGTACAGAGCGCAACATTGCCACAAGCTCCACACAGAGCGCAACAGCTTCAAGAAAGCTCTACACATAGCGAAACATTGCCTCTAGAAAGCTCTACACAGAGCACAACATCGCTATAAAAACCTGTTCTCAAAATTACTTTAAAACCGAAGTACAGAGCAAAAATTGAGCAGAGTAATAATATATTATTCGAAATGAAAATACATCTTATTTTTGAAGGGATTTTTAAGCATATTCAGGAAATTAACATTTCTGCTGTCTTCAGCGCTCTCGGCTGTATATCTTGCCATCATCATGAAAATTCCAAATATTTGCATTTCAGTCGGAATTAAAACCGCATACGAACTGCGTCACGAACTTATGAAATAATATTATTAAAGATTCGCCGGTATTCTCCCTGCCCGGGCCTTTTCCAAGTGGTGGCCCGGCCTTGGCTCCCTATCTAGGGAGTGTCTGAGACCTAAGTCTCCCATGGGAGGAGGTACAAGTACCTCCCTCATCTTTGGGACCAACTGTCCCCTGGCCTAGCCACATTCCCCGCCCTCACGGGGCTAGTAGGGAGAAGCTAGGCCTCTCTGGTCCGCCATCCCCGCTCCAAGGGGGTGGCGGAATGACAGTCTTGTGAGCTGAAAGCTCAGGCTTAGGCACCTACCCTGCCCTAGAAGGGCTG